GAATAGGCCAAATGGAAAGGGGGCACAAAAATTCACTGAAGAAAAAAAAAACTCCCTAAAAAGTAGAATTAGCCAGATGGAAAAGCAGTACAAAAGCTCACTGAAGAAAATAATCCCTTAAAAATTAAAATGGAAGGAATAGAAGCTAATGACTTTGTGGGAAATCAAGAAAAAATAAAACAAAACCAAAAGAATGGAAAAAAAGACAATATGAAATATCTCATTGGAAAAACAACTGACCTGGAAAATAGATCCAGGAGAGATAATTTGAATACCATTGGACTACCTGAAAGCCATGATTTTTTTTTTAAAAAAGAGCCTAGATATAATTTTTCAAGGAATTTTCAAGGAGAATTTTCCTGGTATTTTAGAACCATAGGGTAAAATAGAAATTGAAAAAATCCACTGATCACCTCCTGAAAGACATCCCAAAATAAAAATTCCCAAAACTATGGTAGTCAAATTCCAGAGCTCCAAGGTAAAGGAGAAAATATTGCAATCAGCCGAAAGAAACAGTTTAAGTATGGTGGAGCCACAGTCAGGATAACACAATATTTATTACCTTCTACATTAAAGAATCAGAAGGCTTGAAATATGATATTCCAGAAGACAAGAAAGTAATTTACTTGGAGAAAGTGAAAGGTAGAGGTAGAATGGGGTAAATTATCTCAGAATGCACTCTAGTAGTACAAGATTTCAAATTATATTACAATCAAAAGAATCTGGTATTGGCTATGAAATATATTGGTAGATAGATTATAAAACATCAAATTATAAATTATATATTTATAGATTATAGATAGATTATAAATACACCAAATAGATTATATACACAATATACCAAAGTCAGTGACAATAGCAACTTAATGTTTAATATATCCAAAGATCCAATCTTTGGGCTCAGGACTCACTATTTGACAAAAACTGCTGAGAAAACTGGAAAGTACTCCAGCATAAACTAGGCATAGATTAATATATCACACTGTCCATGAGATAAAGTCAAAATTGGTATATGATTTAGACATAAAGGCTGATGTCATAAGCAAATTATGAGTATTAAAAAGTACTTGTTAGGTCTATGGATAAGGGAAGATTTTATGACCAAAAGAAAGGCAGGATGAATCACAGGAGTTAATATCAATAATTTTAGTTACTTATGAAATTAAAAAGATTTCGCACAAACAAAACCAATGCAGCCAACATTAAAAAGAAAGCAGGAAAGTGGGGGAAATTTTTTTAAAGCAAGTTTTACACCAAGTAAAATTCAGGTCTGATTAAAGTATCAAATATGTGGAAAACAAAGTCAAATTTATAAAAAGAAAAGTCTTTCCTCAATTGATAAAGAGTCAAAGATATGAAAAGGAAATTTTCAGAAGAAGAAATCAAAGCTGTCAATGTAAAAATGCTTTAAATCTCTATTGATAAGAGAAATGGAAATTAAAAAAAAAAGACTCTGAGGGACCACCTCACACTTATCAGATTGTCTAATATTACAGAAAAGAAAAATTACAAATGCTAGAGGAGATATGGGGAAATAGTTACACTAGTGCAAGGTTGGTGTAGTTGTGAAGTGGACCAAGCATTCTAGAAAAAAAGAATGTTGAACCATGCTTTAATGGCCATAAAATGCTGTCTACCCTTTGGCCCAGCAATACTGCTACTAAATCTGTACTCCAATAAGATCAAAGAAAAAGGGGGGGGGGAACTTACATGTACAAAACTGTAGCAGTGCTTTTTGAGGTGGCAAAAACTGGAAAATAGGGGGAATGCCCATCAGGTGGAAAATTGCTGAACTAGTTATACTATATGATTGTGATAGAATAGTATTGTTTTATAATTAATGATAAGTGGAATGGTTTCAGAAAAACATGGAAAGACTTGTATGAACTGATGCAAAGTGAAGTAAGCAGAACCAGGAGAAAATTGTGCACAGTAACAGCAATATTGTAATTATAATTAACTGTGAAAGATTTAGTTACTCTGACCAATACAATAATCTATGACAATTCAAAAAAAAAACTCATGATGAAAAATGTTATCCACTACCAGACAACTAATGAACTCTGAGTACAGATGGAAGCATATTTGTATGGCCTTTTGTTATTTCTCTTGCTTTTTTTTCCAACATGGCTAATATGGAAATAGGTTTTCCATGACTTCTCATGTATAATGAGAGTCATATTTCTTGTCTTTTCAAAGGGACAGGAAGGGGCTTGAGGGACAAAATACTTTGGAATTTTTAATTTTAAAAATTAAGGTTAAAAAATGCTAGTGTTTGTTTCAAGGAGAAAATGAGGTCTCTAAAAACACTATGCAGATTCCCAAATGCAAGCCAACAAACACATTTTCCTGTTTAATTCTGTTACCAATTCATTGTAAATCCACATTGGCAGTCCGGTATAATAGTCCACTTCATTTTCCCTGTATAGAAAGCAAAATGATTACGCATTTCAATCAGTAGAATCTGAAAAGTTATAGGATATGATGCATAGTGTCATTCATAGATGGAAGCAGTTGAAAGATCTTATTGTAGATGTAGAATCTTCAGTTTGAACTCTGTGATAATCATCGTATTTTGTATGCATTAGTAATGGATATTCATGTAAACACATTTAAGATTATGAGAGGATAAGTATGATTGAATGCACTTGGGAAAGGAACAAACAAAGGAAAAGCAGAAATGGTATTGGAAGGATGTTAAAGATAATCTGAATAGAAGGAGGAAATAAATAAGATCAGAAAAAACACACAACTACAAAAAGCTGACATGTTGGTGTCATATAAAAGGATTGAAGAACCTCAATTACTCACACATTTCTTGGAGCTCTTTGCCAAAAGGATAATAGCTGGAAATTGTTGACTTTAATAACAATTTAATTTTCCAAAAAGAGAAATACAGTTCTAGACCTCATTTTGATGAATAATGAGAACCTAGTGCCTGAAGTAGAAATAATGCAAAATTGGAAGAAGGGACAACTCCATCTTTTAATTTATAATGGAGAATTATTTAAAGTAAAAGTACTGCAGAAAGAAAATGAGTTGTCACCCGGTGATATTACTACTAGAGCTATGTCCCAAAAAGAAATTAAAAGAAAAGGGACTTATATGTACAAAAGTATTCATAGCAGCTATATGTGTTCTTGGAAAGAACTGAAAATTAAGCTGGTGCCCATGAATCAATGAATAACAAAACAAAATGTGATATATGCAAACAATAGTACATCTTTAAAATTTACATGCCAAATTATTCTATATTCTTTAAAACAAACTATATGAAATAGATTTTTGGAGTAGTTGCATGCAAAATTCTCACCTTCTGATCTACAAGGTACATGAAAAGAACCTTTTTTGCTTCCTAATTTAAAAATTAGTTCAGTCTTGAATCAAATATGAGGATCAGCATAGTATGGATTGTAATCAGGACATTGTGTAATACTTTTAATTACCCTAAGCTTCTCTCACACATAAAGATCCATTTTTTCCTTAATATAAAGGTCATAGAGGTGTTGTATGGTTTCATATCTTAAAGGACCACACTCTCCATAGTGTTAAAGTTTTTGGTGTGATAAAAGAAATAGAGAAATAGATAACTAGTTAAACTAAACTGCTATTTTCAATGATAATCTATGTTCAATAAATGACATAAGTGATATAAATGAGAAAATATGTGATCAAAAAGTGTGGTGGGTTTTGGGTACTATATTTGTATTTTTGACATACAAAGACATAGAGGAAATCTTCCAATATATTAGACAAATTTTCATTGGAAGATTTAGACATGAATCTTATAGGCTAAAAAAGGGGCATTGGGTTATAATCTATACCAATAGAAAGAAGCTCTAGACAGATGTCTGAGCAGATCCATTGAAGAGAGCAACTAGATGCTTCAAGGGATAGAGCACTGGCCTGGAATCAGGAAGATCTGAGTTCAAATCTGGCCTCAGACACAAACTGAAAAACAAAAAAAAATTGAAAAGTAATATTTTTTACTACATGTAATATGTCCTGAAAGGGTAAAAATAGCAATGAAATTCTCTGTGACAACTGACATAAAATAAATAGTAACTGAATCCAGACTCATGTTTATTTGAAAGACTGTTACTTGTTCTATAATATATTACGGATTTTTCTTCTTGAAAAGCAGTGATACCAAATGTTTATGCTGTCCTGGTTACTGATATCTGCAGTCCCAGAGCCTTTGAGTATTTTTAAAGAGTTCTAAATAATTTGGAGGAGTCTCCTCTAACAGTTAACCAACATTCTGAAGAGATTTAAACTGTTAAAGAGCATTCTGAGAACAAAACAACTAACATTCTGAGGAGAACCGGACTGTTGTCAGGCCCTGAGGAAAGGTCTATTTATTTTATGACATGAATGTTTTTGAAGGAAGAAACTTTTACCCAGGTTTTGGGATGACAGACATGTATGAGTGAGACACAAATGACTAGCTGGACCAGTAAGGGTAAGACAGAAGTGAAGACCAGACTAAACAGCAGTTGGCTGTCAGTGACAGTTGGTGAAAATTCCACTCAGCAGTTTCCTTATTTCCTCTGCATAAGGAAACCTGAACTGTGAGCCTTGATCTTAGGAGTAGACAGAGTAAAAAAAAAAAGATGTTATAAAATTGTGAAAAGTATTTACAAAACTGTTGGAAAGACTTAAAATGATCTTTAACAGCATCAAACTATGAGAAATTACTCAGGAGGCTTTTGTTTTTTGTTGTTGCTTTTTATTTACAAGAGCTCTTTGATTTCTCAAAGATCAAGATTGGGAGTACTATCTGGAAACTTATCTCTTAATTCCACTATGGTGTAGATGAATTAATTTAAAATTTAGAATCCTTAACATGCAGACAAAGCTTGCCCGGGGGCGAAGCCAAGATGGACACGTGGAAGCAGTGAGTTGCTTGAGCTCTCCCCCAAACACCTCCAAATACCCATAAAAAAAATGGCTCAGACAAAGCTTGCCAGTTGCAAAAAAAAGAAAAATCACAATTCAGTCCCAAAAAGGATGAATCAAACCCAGTTACTGCAGAATATAACTTTCCAATATCACAAAACTATCATAAACCTCCATTAAGTATTTTCTTAAGGTAGGCCTCATCCTCCTAGAGAAGGCCTACAAAAATGTGATTTGAGTATGCTATAATATTGCCAGAGGGCCAGCAAAATCTTCACTAGATGCAATATAATTTGGCCAGATGTATTAGAGGACATACTTTTTTGATTTTTACAGTTTCTGAAGGCAAAAAAAAAAATTTGAAATTATATAATAAGGGTGTTTGGAAAAACAAGAATAGCATTATACATCTGACCTAAAAGATGAGATTACATTTGTAATGTTTAGAAATTGCCCTCCAAATTTGGGATCCAAGTGAATAGCTTACTATAACTGCTGATAGAAAAGGTATGGCACATCCCAAGAGAACAAAGATGGTCACAGGGCCTCTGGCCATCTACTCCATCCTATACATGAAAGGATTATGCATTCTAATACGTCCAACATGTAGCACTAGTAACAAATACTGTATCAAAGAATAAGCATTTGATTTCTGAGAATTTGCTATGGGGGAAAAAAAAGCAAAAGCTTGTAAACAATTGGATGAGAATACAACAGATAATTATGCCCAGGAACATCTAACTTTAATTAGTTCCAGACCCTCTCCTCTATGGGTGACTGAAGCAAAGCAAGAGAGACACAATGATAACTATGTGACATATGTAAACAGGAGTCAAAACCAGGGTGAACAGCAGCTGGCAGTTGGTGATTGTTGGTAAGAATTCTACCAGTAGCTTCTTTTCCCTGTATAAGATGATCTGAGCTGTGAGTCCATCATAGTCTTTTATATCTCATTTGAGTGTTTATTGTAGTTTGTATATTATTTTGTGAGCCTAACAAATTACTTGACCATTCATAATAGTTTTGTTTAAGTGTATATATTCAGAGTTTAATTTTGAGAGATGGTTGCTAGTCTCATGGTAAGAGACATTTCCCTGCTTACACTGAACAGAGATCCAAGCAGAGTTTTACTGATTTTGCTAACTGATGAAAATATTTACGAACATATCCACTAGACTGCCTTTGAACCTACTGAGAGATGATTGACAAGGAAACAAGACAGTGGGAGACTGAAGGGTGAGGTACTAGTGTGTTTAATCCCTGAATGTAGCTGGGGGTATTGTTTATATCATGCAACACATGATGATGGTCTTTATAGCTAATGTCATAAGATGAAAGTTTTAGAACTGGAAGAGACCTTTGAGATCATCTATATCAGTCTTCTACTTAAATGTTATAAGAAATGTTACAGTTAAAATACTGTATCACACACCTTTCATTATATCATTTTTATTGTCAATGGTTACAAATTTATTATTATTATTATTATTATTATTATTATCATTATCATTATTAGTGACTGAGTCTCCTCATCTATTCTAGGCTAGTAATGTCTGAGACCAGATTTGAACTCAGGAAGATGAGTCTTCCTGATTCCAGGCCTGGTACTCTGTCTACTGCACTACTATAGCTGCCCCTAAGATATGTAACTAACAAATATATAAGGCTGAAAAGTATTTCCCGATAGAGAATTGCCCAAAGGATATAAACAAATTGTTCTTAAAGGAAGAATTGCAAGTGATTAATAACCATATTGAAAATATTCCAAATAACTAATAAGAAAAATGCAAATTAAAACAACCTTGACGCTTAACCTTAAAGAAAATTGCCAAAAATAACAAACGAAAGAAATAATTAATATTTTCAGGTAGTGGAGAGACAAGAACATGAATGCATAATTTGTTGAACTGTGAATTGGTCCAATCATTCTGGAAAGTATTTGGAATTATGTAAATGAAGTGGCTAAAATGTCCCTAACCTCTAACCCAGGGATTCTACTGCTGTGCATTGACAAAGAAGGATGATGCACTGAAATATTTATTGCAGCACATTTTGTGGCAGCAAATAATCAGAAACAAAGTACATTGATTGAGGACAGCTAATGCAATTGTGATACGTGATATACCACATATGCATATTATTGTGCAAGCTGTAATTCTAAAAAAATTAGCATGATCAGTATGGAGAAACATTGAAAGACTCATATGAACTGATGTGAAGTTAAGTCACTACAGCCAAGAAAACCACATATAATAATTAAAAAATGTAAACAGAAAGAAGAGTCACAAAATAATCAAAACTGAACACTGTGAGATTATAAACTACCTTTACCCTGAAAAAGATATGAAAAGAAACTTCCCTATTCCCCTTTGCAGATTTTAGGATCAATCGCGATGGAACATTGCTTATAAGATTGTTTCAAAATTTTTATTGATTTTTAGTATTTTTCTCTTAAAAAAAAAACAAATCTGTTTTCAATTTGTGTACAAATAAATATAGTAATTATCAGTGTCATTGTGAGAATTTTCTGCAATAGAAAAACAGAAGTTTACAAATGATAAAATTGTTGAGAAAATAAAATAAACTTATGCCTCTTCATTCACTTTAGCTGTTATGAACCAATAAGACACACACACACACACACACACACACACACACACACACACATGTAATAGGATTTGGAGTCAGAAGATCTTGGTGCAAATTCTGGGCCTGTTGTTACTTGGCTAAGTCACAATCTCTCTGTGCTCATTATCCACAATATCTCAAAAGTTATATTCATTTGTTTTTCCTGCTTTGAGAGTCAGAAGGAACTTCAAAAGCTATTTAATCCAATGTATATGTAGCATGAATACCTATTGTTATCTACATGACAAGAGCTCAAGCTCTGATCAATATTTCCAAAGATTCTGGTGCCAGTCAGTTGCACTTTTGGAAAGATCTAATAATTAAGAAGTCTTTTATGCATTTATTCATTTGTTTTTATTCCTCTCATATTAAGACTAAATAAGATTATTCAAATGAGGTTCTCCCACCTGACACAGATGAATTAGATGGGAGAGGACAGCTGGTAGTTCTGATAACCTACTTTCATAGGGAATAGGCTCAAGAGGGAATAATACATGTATATCTAGAAGAGTATAAAAGTCTTCTAAATTCAGAAGAAATAAAATGATAATGGAATAGGGAAGGGGAGAGGATAAGGGAGGGATCTCTAGAGGGGAGGGTGAGGGAATAGGTTGAAAGGGGAAGTATAGAATAGTATTTAGATTTATAGGAATTAGAGGAAAGGTGAGGGATCTTTGGTGGGGGGGTAGGCTAAATAATTGGAGGGCAAGGTAGCAGGTAGAAGTAAATTAGTGAAATCAGGAAGGATAGGAAATAGGAGATATGCACAAACATAAAAGCAAAGATCAGATGTAGAATTTGTTAGGAAACATGTCTATATATGTACACATATGTATGTATGTATGTATATATATATATATATGTGTGTGTGTGTGTGTGTGTGTGTGTATATATGTATATGTGTATGTATATATCTATGTATAAATATATCTCCACTTAATTGTAGTCTGGTTGAGTGGGATGGAGGAGACCAAAAAAGACTAAATTAGACTTGTAAGACTTAAAATCATTGCTCCTGGTTCTGCCCTCTGGGTCCAAACAGGACCAGTTTAATCCTTGCTCCACAGAGGAGTCCTTTAAAAACCCAAATACATATGTCATGCTCTACCTCTACCTCCTATTCAATCTTTTCTTCTCCAGAAGGAATATTTTCTAATTTTTATTATTTGTACAATTAATACAAATTGTAAAGAACCCATTAGATAAAATCCCTTTATCTAACACTAATAATTATGCAAGCTGCATTACCTTGTACTTCTTATTTATTTCTGATAAGAGCTTCATTTAGTAATTTATTTCACTGCTCCCTTACCACCCTTTTCTTTGAAACACAGCACTGAAATCTTTAGTGATTGAACAAGTACCCTTTAACCATTTTCATATTTTATTGATAGTCCTTTTATCTTGAATTGGCAGGTATTAATTGTATTAAATTCTAAACTTTTCAAAGTCTCTGCTTTTTCAGTTATATACCTCTTATCTCCATATAGTATGTGAATTTTGCTGAGTGGATAATTGAGTACATGAATTACAATTCATAATTTTATAACCATTATATTCTGAAGTGTTTAATCCTTTGTGTCTTCCTTGAAAAAATCTGCCACGAAACTAAATATTTTTCTTGATAATTTCAGTACTTATTTTAGCTTGCAATATTTTCCCTTTATTATTGTATCATTTGGGTGTTAAATATTAGCTTCTTCTCTTTTAGGGACCTATGGATTCTTTCTATTTGTTCAATTTTTTTTTATCAAGTTGGACAAGTTTGATAGTTTCTGACACAGCTTGTTTATTCACTTTCTCTAATTTCTTTAGCACATCAGTCATCCTAAAATTATCTATGTTTTGATACAAACCTGTTAATGATGTTGTCCAATAATTTGTATAATTAGTTATTTCTGTTGAGACATAGATACTTTCATCTTATGTGATATACTTTGTTGCCTTTTATCTTTAAATCAATAATTTCCACCCCTTCCCTTAAACTGACCTTATGACAAAGAACAATTAACAAAAGTATTTGTTTTATGTATTATATCTGAAAATTATTAGAAAAGTCCTAGTAGCCTCCTTTCTCCCAAAACCTTTCTGGTGCAAGGGAAGATATCTATTTCACATCTATTCTCTCAGATATTGATGGTTTTTCAGTTACTGTGAGGTTAATTTACATTTGGAGTTGTTATCATTTAGATTGTTAGAGATATTGAATATACATTTTCTCAGTTCTACTTATTTCACTCAGGCTTCATTTATATAAATTTTCCCATTTTTCTGAGTTACCCATTGTAATAATTTCTTACTACACAGTAATATTCCATTCAATTCATCCATCATTTTTTAAAGTTTTTTTTTTTCCTGATGGGCCCTTACTTTATTTCCAGTACTTTGCTTCCATAGAAAGCTGCTATGTGTCAGTATACATTGAAGCGTTGCTTGTGTCTTTGTCTTCCTATGGGGTTCTGTGCCCAGTTAGTGGATGACTGGATAAAAAGAAATTGAAAGTTTAGTCACTTTTCTTGCATAAGTCCAGACTGAAATCAAGAATAGTTGGACAATTTAACATCTCTATCAGCTGTGCCAAAAAATCACTATCTTTCATAGCACCTCAAAAATCAGTAATTACTGTTGTTGTCATCTTTGCAAATTTTCATAGTGTGAAGTAAAAATTCAAATAAATTTTAATATGCATTTGTTTTACAATTATTGATTTTGGCACATATGTCCACATAATTATTTTTTCCTATAACCTTTTACATCTTAATTATGGTGAGTGGCTTTTGGTGTATATATTTGCAACAATTCCTTATATATTTTTGACAATCAGACTTATCACTGATTTTTGATGTAAATATTTGTTCCATATACCATTTCTCCTCTAATTCTGTCTTTATGACTTTATTCATGCTTTCTAAAAATTTTATACGGTCAATATTAAATATTTTATCTTTTCTGATATCCTCTATCCCTTATTTGGATAAGAATTTTGTCCCTAGCCACAAAGTGCCTGATATTATTCTCTTCAATTTTTTGAATGTAACCTTTGATATTACAGATGCATATTCATTTTGAGTTTATTTTGTCCATAGCTTTCTAGCTGTTTTCTTGAAGAAATGATTCATAAAGTGTAGGTATAAGTCCTATCTCCAGTTTAATATATAAAGTATTGAAAATGTTATATGTATGTCATTTCCAGTATGAACCAATGTTGTATATCTGATAAAAACTCTACTTGGTCACAATGATTTTTAAAATAAATTATTATAAATAAAATAAATTTTATTTATTATTAGTATTTTGTATTCATTAGGGGAACTGATTTACATTATTCATTATTTTTGTGTTTTCCAGGTTTCAAAATCAATAGCACATTTGCATCTAAAAAGGTATTTGGTAAGCTTTCACAATCATCTGTACTTATGAATATTCTATATACTATGGATATTGAAGAATTGACATGATGTAATTGGTAGTGAACTATCTTCTAAATAAGGAGGATCTGGGTTCAAGTAGTGCTTCTGAGGCTGGCTACCTCACACTTGGAAAGTCACTTAACCTCAAACTTCTCTTGGAAAAAAGTGATAGCTTTTCAGTGTCCTCACCCTTGTGTTCTCTGTGCCATAGAAATCATAGGTCCAGTTCTTATTCATATAATGGCATGATTTCATCAATTAAGTTTTGGAAAAAAATTTCAAGGGAACCCAGAATCAGAGAATCATGGTTGAAGGAAAATTCAGAAATCATCTAGCGCAACACCATATGAATATAAATCTCCTCTACAATATGTTTGACCCACAGTCATCATGTAGGCTCTAACTGAAGACATCCAATAATAGAGAAATTATCTCCTGATGCAGTTTAAGACATGTTGAGTTTAAGATGTCTAGGAGATATTTAGTTTTAGGTATCTAACAGGCAGTTAAAAATAAGAGAGTGGAAGTAAGAATATTAGGGCAGAATAGGTAGATTTGAGAATCATCAGAATGGAGATGATAATTGAATGCATGAGAATTGATAAGGTCACCATGTTAAACAGTAGAGAGGGAGAAAAAAGCCTAGAAGAGTCCTTTGAAATACTCGTGGTTAAAGGGATTAACCTAGATGAAGACCAACAAAGGAGACTGAGAAGAATATTCAGATAGCTAGGAAAAGAGGAAAGGGAACATGGTGGTTGCTTTGTGCCAAATTCTGTACAGTGTGCTTTACCAATAACATCTAATTTAATTTCATATAATCCACACAACAACCCTGTGAGGTAGATTTTATTATTATCTCATTTTCTAGTTAAGAAAAGTGGCATAGAAATGTTAAGTGACTTGCCCAGGGTCACATAGCTACTAAGCGTCCAAGGCTGAGCTTGAACTCAGGTCTTCCTGACTTGCTGATTTTCTTCAATTTTGTTCATCAGCACATGTGTAAGAGGGAAGGTAGCAGAAGATGGGAGTGACTCAAGGCTGAGGCTTGAGGGGGCAAGATCAGAATGTTATAAGGGGGCAAAGGACTCAAAAGAAGAAGACAATATAGAGTAAATTACACTGGGGTAAACATGGGGAAAAGAGTGAAGTATAGCTAGTGCAGAGGCGATAGCCCTGGAAAGAACTAAGAGGTCCTTTATATATAAATATAGAAACTGGCTGCAAAGGTATCATAGGCTAGACTATGCTAAAAATGGTGACCAACATGGCCATCATTAATTCCTTCATTTGCCCAGGTGGTGTCTAATATGCCTGTTGTTAAAGCAAAGTATTTATTGTTATTCTCATTGTCATGTGAATTAAATAATTCAAAATAGAAAAGACTAAGAAATACTAAGGAACAGGTTAAAGTATCAGTATTTTCCTTGGAGCAGTTCATTAAAAATTTTCAATTAATTTTGTATCATTGTTAAGACTAGCTACAAACATTATTGAGATTAATATTGATACAAACAGATATTGATATTATCTTAGCAAGTAATCCTGATATAAGATTTTGTACCAATATGCCAATGATAGCAAAAAAAAAACTACCTCACACATTTGCTACAAAGAAAATTTTTTGTAAAATTACAAGAGATTATGGGGAGGGTGGGATATGGATAACAGTTATCATCTATACCCAAATAGGTCCAGGAAAAACTAATTTATTTCTCAGAGTGGCATCTCTACTGGCAGTCTCGTATCCTCCAATCTACAATATAAGAGTGAATGGACAACCTAGAAAGTTAGCCATCAGTATCTTCATTTTTCACAAACTCTGTAGATGCATAATAATCTCAGTTCTGAATTCATTAATAATATTAATGGTATTATTAACTGAAATTTGTAGTTTACAAAATTTTAAATTTTACACTTTACAAAATGTTAAAGTTTACAAAGTATTTTGTAACCATTTTCTTTTTGAGGTAGAGAAAAAGTCCTATCTAGATATTACAATATCACAATGCCTATTTTACAAATAATCTAAGCCTCAAATAGGTTAAGCGATGTGCCTATGGTTATATTTCTTCATTAATTTAAATGTCAGAGAAACAATGTGAAACTAGGCTCAAACCCAGTTCTACGTTCAAGATTATAATAGACAAATTTCAAATGATTTACAATGACCCCAATATTCTCTCTGAAACAAAAGCCTGTCCTTTGTAATGCCAATGTTCTTCTGGTATTGTTATATACTTGTGAATCAGAGAATATCATAAGCTTCAAGGGATCAAATTTGAATGGCACCCAAATGGCACTGACAAGATACATGGTATATGTAGATGGGCTCTTGTATATTATCAATAAGAAAAAAAGTGGCATAAAATATATCATCAGAGATGTATGAATAAAAACCACAAAAAAGAACATAGTCCAGTCAAATAGTAATAGTGATACATACACAGTTTATGTAATGCCTAGGTACATATTTAACATCAAAAGAACCAGAGAAGACTCCAAGCTCATTGGTGGGCTCTCTTGTTGATAGTTTGTGTAAATATACTGTCGATAGCAGAACATGATGAAGTGAAGTAGGTGTATTGAGATCTGTACTGTTGGAAAGAACACCCACAATGAAGATATCATGATCCATTGAAGTGTTGCAATACAAAGGGCTCAGGGTATATCAAGAATTTCTGTGTCACAGAAAGTATACAAATAAAGCAGGAGATCAATTAACTTGAGATGGGAAAAAGAAAATAACCCTATGAAGTCAATCCGCTTTACTATATTGAGTTTAATTTCAGTACTTTGGAAAGCACAGTGACACACATATACTACTTTTAATAATAACATTTTCCAGTTACAGATCATTAAGCTTAATCATGGAAATTGATTGTCTGTAAAGTAATTATTAATTTATGTCGCAAAGAAGTAAAATCACTGCATGGATACTTTCATTGATTTGCATGTTTCTAAAGGGGAGAGAATAACAGAATCATAGCATTCCAGAGTTTAAGAGTTAGAATGGACATTACAAATCATCTATTATCCATATTTCATGGATTTAGAAATTATGGGTTAAAGAAGATGAGTGACTACCAAGATCTAACAACTGGTAGAAAGGGAAGAAAAACCCTAGAGCTCCTAATTTCCTAGTAATTGCTCTGTCACTAATCTAGTTCTCTACAGCTTTAACCATTGTATTATAAAAGATGGCTATCTGTGTGGAGACTAGGGAAGACATATTGATAAATATGTCTTACATATTTATTATTATGTCTTACATAAAATAGAAGTTATCAAGAACACTTTTTATTAAAAACTGTTTAGGACATAAATATAATTTAAAGTTAAAGTGTATTAACTGTACCTCAATCTCAGAAAGTTATTTTATGTTTGAAATGTCTTAAAATTTACTGATTTTAAAAGCATTTCTAATCTTACCCTTCCCATGAACAAAATAAAATGAAATAAAAAGTAGCCTTCTTTATAAACATGAATAGCTGAAATGTATTTTATCTAAATATTCAGAAATTTAAAGAAAGCAATATAGAGGCAGGTCGTGCATCCCCTGAATCATATTTAAGGAGTAGAGAAAAAAATATCTGAAAAGTCACTAATTAAAGTGATCTATACAGATTTATATTCTCCACTAAAGTTTTTCTCCAAGATTAAGGATATAGTCCTATAATCTTGAAGACTAGCATAGTAAAAGCTTTAGCAAGCCCTGCCAAGCTAAAAAGAATTTGAATACTGCATGAAAAAAGATAGACAATGTGTTTATCATCTGAGGACCAACTTTCCTGAATTCAAAGAGGTTCATTAACAGAGCGTTTGTTACCAAGAGATGATTTTTTTTTTGCCATAGCAACATATGTTAATCATTTACTAACTTATGAGTAACTGGCAATATGTCAGTGGAAAGAGTACCCACACTGATGAAATCATGTTCTGTCAAAGAATTAGAGTAAGTTAGTCTCAATATGACATCCAGATTACTTATACCCCTAGGTAATTTGAAAAGAATATTTAGTAAGTAATAAAATTCCCATTTCTAATGTTATAAAATTGAATATCCATGACATAAATATAGGATTAATTGCAGGTAATTTTGTGAAATGAAATACATGTGTAGTCAAAGTGTTATTTAGGCAAATATAAATAACTGTTGCTCACTGAAGGTGACAAAAATCTTATCTAGATTATCTAGAGACAATAGTAACCATAAGGTTTCTATAATTGGTTGGTGCAAAACTTCTTTGCCATAAAAGACAGGGAGGTCTATGACCTTATAGATGAGCATTAGATTATAATATATAGGTTATAACTAGTTAAATATATATTTTACAGGTGTATGTATGTATTTTTGTTCTTATATGGCACTATTCCCTTTTTTTGTTATATTTTTAGGTGGGGTTAGGATCAGAAGGATGAAGCCGTATTTGTTGTCAGTGTGCTAGTCAGTACAGACATCAGCGGAGTCAGAGGTAAAGGACAAGACCATACAAAATACTGAAAAGGTCAATAGAAATGTAACAAAAGGAATAAATGGTGAGAAAGAAAAAACTTAACTTATGGTAAAATTAAGTATCTGTTAAACCAATAATTGGGTCAATGAAAGCATTTAAGAAGTGCAAATACCCTACCTCAATTTTTAACAACCAGATGTAGAAGCATCTAGAGGCTTTTAAATCCAGGAAAAAGAAGTCAATTCTAATAACCTTTCTGAATGGAAGGCAGTTGTGCTAGAACCAAGAACAGACACTATTTCTCTATCATGGAACATTCTTCCAGTCCAGAATCTGGATCAAACAATTAACAATCATTTATTAAATTTATAATGTGTGAAATGTAAAATGTCTACTTATCCACTCTATTTTAGCACAATGCCCAGCACATAGTAGCCAATATATAAGTGCTTATTCTCTTCATTTCCTTTCTACAATGGCCCCCAAATTAAGTAGCGATTGATGATTTTGTAGGGATTATCTATCAACAGTAAGATTGCCATTTCTATATGCAGGCCAAAGGGAGTGCTATTAGGAGTAGAATTGATTTTGGAAAGGTTATTCTGACTGGGAAACAGATAATATATTCTCCCCACTGTGGCATTTTGGTCTGGCCTGTGAATATTTCATGTCAATCCAGTATCAAGATCTACTACTCAGGTATTACATCAGACATAATACACAACTTTGTGAGACATGTAGACTCCTGGGAAAACTCTAGGACTTCTTTAATTTCTGCTCCCTCTGGTACTAACCTTTATCACCAAGTTAACCTTATACCAAGGATGTGGTATCTACCTTAGTAGTTAGTGATTCTCATAAAAGTATTCATTTCATCCCCTATACATGTTTCTCCGTGGCATATCACCAATAGTGTACATATTCTTCAGAAAAATCCTAAATTTACATGGCCCCCAGATGTTAGCCTCCCCATTCATTTCTGATTCACATGATTTATGAACTCTCACTTAAAATCAGTCTCTCCACTGCTTACCAATCTGATGACTTTTTGAAGGAAGGAACTGAATCCCTGATTGATATTGTTATTTTGCTACTATCATACAGATAGTTATGTCACTATAGTTCCATGTACTCTTTCAAACAAAGCATCCTACTTCAAAGTAATGATGACTTTCATCTCAGCTTTATTCCATACTCATTCCTCATCCTTGTGCCAGTCAACTACCTAGCCAACCATTTCTGGTTGACCTAGCTGACTGTGTGTGTGAAACATCTGAATGAATAGACTCTCAAAGACAGTGAGATTCTGATCCATAGCCACTTCCTCATCATTTAAGGTAAGTCTGTATATAACCTTATAGATCCATTTTTTCATTCATGTATCATTGCTATCCTGCACCCATATATAATATAGTCTGCACCTCCTGGATCCTTTCCTTCCTTGAATTCATATGGAAAAAGGGAGGAGTTCCTTCTTTAAAAATATTCTAGATAGTCACAGGCTTAGAGGACTTCTCCAATATTTCTTGGAGTGTTTAGGTTAGTCACAAGGACCTGGAACCCTACAAATCACTTCCATGATCCTGAATTGATAGAGGCCTTCCACTAGTGTGATGCTACCAATATTCCTAATGGCCTCCAAAGCTCAGCTCAAGGTCACATTCTTTCCTGATGAATGAATCCTTTCCTGCTCAACCCAGTTACTAGTAATTTCTTCTGAAAAATTACCAAAAGTACAGCTCATTCATGAAGTTGTCATATCAGGAAGATTATTTAGTTCACCCAGTGAAGAACTCGTGTGGCCAAATGTCCATAAGCAATTTTGGTTTTGCAATGTATTCTGGGTGATTAGGAGCTTGATGGGAAAATTTCTAAGAAACAATTACTGAGCTTACAAGCCCCATGTCAGAGGCACACAGCTGTCCTTGAAGCCAGATATTTTTCTCACCAAAGTTAGAAATCTTTTCCTGAAATCTTGAGTTTTCACACTCAGACTACTACAATCTGGCCTTGTCATTTCCTCTGCTGCTTCAGGAGAGAAGCCAAGGACACCATGACCAAGGGAGGAGCACTTTCCAAGAAGAATACAATTATTCTATGATTTTAGACTTCCCAAAGGCAGACCTAGCAAGGTGTAGGGTGCAGGGGTAGGACTGAATAAAGCAACGCTCCTGAGTGATCAGATACACTAACCTAATAAAGACTGGCAGGCTGGAAATAGTTCTCCCTTTATTAATTAAGCCTATCTTAATAAGGTCCCATACCCATATCATTCACAAACATGTCGGTGTGAACCACAGCCAATAGAAAGTGATTGGCTTATTTTTGCTCTTGATTTTACTGTCTCACTAAAGTACATACACACTTCCTTCTTCCTCTTGTAGTGAACTATCATCTTATTCCCCCCGTAAAACTAGCCCTGCAAGTTGGCTTTGCATGGAACCAGATAATATTCACAACCTTTATCTCAGAATTTATAGGGTTTTTTTTTTTGTATTCTTAGCTTTAAGTATTTATTGCAGAAGGAAACAAAACAAAAAAAAATTGCTGCTTCTTCACACATTTTCCTCTTTTATTTTTTTTCTATCTGCCACCAAAACCCACATTGTTAATTGGAAGCTGGATGAAGAATTTTCACTAAAGAATATTACAGGTAGAAATAGGAAAAAACCATCATTCTGATGCTCTTTGAGATTATATTCCCCAAATCATTGACCAGCAGAAGACAACTAATAGGACACTTTCCGGAAGTTTAATAGGTTTCTTTTATCAACTCATTCACTAACCAGCTTTCAAAGGTTATGTCTCTGATTCATATAAATACAAACAGACTTAGTGTGAGATAGGGTTAGTAACTGGAACTCTAATTTAACTTAGAATTTTAGAGAATTGCTGATGGCACTGAAAGGATAATAGACACAGCTAAAGTGAAAGAAGACAATCGTAAAATATTTGTGACTGGATGGTAAGAAATAAAGGGTCAAGAGACTATAGAAAAACTTAGAAATTATCTAATATCCTTTCATATTTGAGTAAACTGAGGCCCAGGCAGGTTATGTAACTTACCCAAAGTCACACATGTTGTATGTATAAGAGTCTGAATTTATACCCTTTCATGCGATTCTAAATTAAACATTCTCTACCTGGTGTCAGGCTGTTTTGTGTTTAGCCTAGACCCATCCCTACAAAAATCAAACATTTTACCCATAAAGAAAGTATGTTCCAGAGGTGATTAATGATGCACTCAAAATTACATAGCTAGTTACATACTTAGTAACAATGCTCAAATTGAAACCTAGGCTTTCTAATTCCTGGTCCAGGTCTTGTTATTACCAATAGAAGCAATGGTTTTCATAGCCCCTCTTTTCTAAGATTAATGGAATTATAGAATTATAGATTCTTAGCAAGTGTACTTCAAGTCTAACTTCCTGTTCAATGGGAATGCTAGTAGAGATTATCTATTTCTATCTAAATATTATTCTTAATGTTTAATTTTCCTCTACTCACCAATGCCCTTCCACACACCTGTGTTTAAAGCTTCCAAATAAGGTTTAGTATAGGATAGCAGATATAGTATGTCACAATAGAATAAATAAAGGACTTACAATCACAACAAATCTGGTTTGAATTTGATCTTTGCCCCCTAATACTTGTATGATGTTAAGCAAATTGTTTTTAACAATGTATTTGTTAATTTTTAGTTTTAAACATTCACTTCCATAAGATTTTGAGTTTTAAATTTTTCACCCTCCTTTCTTCCCAAGACAACACACAATGTGATATAGATTCTACTTATATACTCATATTAAGCATATTTTCACATTAGTCATGATATAAAGAATTAGAACCAATGGGAAGAACCATGAGAAAGAAGAATCAAAACAAAACAGCAAAAGAAAAAGAGAGCAAATAGTATGTTTCAATCTGCATTCAGATTCCATAGTTTGATGTGAACAGCTTTTTTCTATTGTGAGTCTTTTGGAATTGCCTTAGATCCTTGCATTGCTGCAAAGAGCTAAGTCTATCAAAGCCAGTCATTGCACAGTGTGGCTGTTACTTTGTACAGTGTTCTTCTGGTTCTGCTCACTTCACTCAGCATCAGTTCATATAAGTCTTTCCAGGCTTTTCTGAAGTCTCCCTGCTCATCATTTCTTATAATACAACAGTATTTTATTACATTCATATACCACAAGTTGTTCAGCCATTCCCCAATTTATGGGCATCCCCTCAATTTTTAATTCTTGGCCACCACAAAAAGACTTAAAGTAAATTGTTTTATCCCTGACACCCATCTTCTTAGTCTATAAAATGGGGAAAACACTTGCACTTCTTAGAGCTAAGAATGATGTGCATGAAACTGTTTTGTAATTAAAATTTCCATAAATCTTAAAATTGATACAATGTCATAATTTGGTAATTAGGTAATGGATGGGGAATTTATTATTCAAAAAATGTCTAGTGATTATTTTATAAAATAAAAAGTCAACTGTCTTCTACATTTTAATGTGAGAAGTTCATACTCTCTAATCCATAGCTTAGTAGAGAGTAACTTAAAAAAATGAATGATGATCTTAAATAATCCTTAAGAATATGCCATGATTCTTAAGATATATCTGAGGTACCTTTTGGAATCCTTGGAAAGTAGAATATTTCTAAATTATCAACTATACTAAATTATGTTTTCTGTTTATGCTTAAACATGTAGCTCTTCAAGTAGCAGATTAAGTATTAGATCTTTAGGAAGATCTTGAAATTATGAAATATAGATATGTGTGCATGTGTGCATACATACACACGTGTGTACATACACGTGTGTGTATATACAAGTGTGTGTATGTGTCATACATATACACATGGGTACAAATGCACGTGTGTTTGCATGCACATGCCTGTGTGTATCTGTGCACATGTGCACATGAATGCATATGTGCACATATACTAGTTGAGAAATCTTCATATGATTTTAGAAATTATAGATTTCTGCCTTCTGTTAAATATTTTGTAATACTATATTGTTTATCTGCTCAACCTGTTTGAGTCTTCATCTAAACTGAATAGGGTTATAGTTAAATTACCTGC